ACGTTTTTTAATCGCGTTAAACGTTCCGTCGTTGTCCTCAATCATCCAGCTTCCACTTGTCACCCACCCGACCCCACCCGACGGCTCGACCTTCCCTATTCCTCTCTTCTCTGCTTGTCTCTCTCTTCTCTCTTTCTCTCTTTCCTTTGCACCGTGCACGCATGCGCGCGCGCGCCAGCACGCGAGACGTCCGTTGTTTAATTAAAACCAGATCAAAATGATGTCCGCCGTTTCCGCGCCGAGCCCCTGCTGCGACGTTTCAACGACGACGACTTTCAATTAATTTAACGTCGGTTTCTCGTTGGGCAATACCGAACGATGACGACGGCGCCGACGTGATTCGACGTCCTATGAATATTACGCAAGAACTTGCGAGACGGTAAAACTTGTGGATCTTCAAGACACTCCGAAGATTTCGCGACAAAAATGTCGCTTAAGCGCGCCGAGTATGCATCTGAAGAATGAAGCGAAGATTTAACATTTTCGTCAAATGCTCTAAATTTCTCAAAATTCTTCCTGCGAAATTTCACTGGGTAAATAGAATGAAAATCCACCCATTCGAATCTGAGTAATTTTCCGCTGGTGTATAATGAATTCTCTATTCGGTGAACATTTTGATTCAAAATTGAACAATACACATAATGCACATCAAGTTTTGATAATGCTTCATCATTTACTAAATCAAAACTTACTAGTGTTCCCAATTGTTCACATTGTATCCAGATATGAATATATTGAATTATATCTGTTAGTTATTGGATTAACTCGTTATTTTAACAGCACAATATATCATGCAGTATCATATTACATATCATATCATATTCAAATACAATAAAAACGATTAGAGAAATCCAGAAAATTAGTCTAATAAGTGTTAAAGCTTTGTTCGAGCTTGATGTATTCTACCGTCATGGAAACTAGCATTTACATTAATTGACTGAGAGAAGTATTAACTCATACAATTCTCATATAAATTAAGAATTTCCTCACGCACATACTCATTAGTTGAAATTAAACATTCATTCTTGTGATCACGGTACTTTTACAATCTCTCCGAGGCATTTTTTACTTGTTTCAAGAGAGATTTCGTTCTAAAAAATATAGAGAGTGCAATAGAGTGAGGACACATGTATTACGCAATTGGACGCGTTGACTCGTTTTGTGAGGCATAGCAAACGCTCGCAAAAATTCAGATATTTATTTATTCATTCCTGCCCGAAAAATTTATCGTACGACCATCGCGATAGATCGTTTCAGACTTCGAATACGTGCATAATCCATCGATTGGGTGATATTTTTTTTCATTCGGCGCAGCTATTCCGGCTTAAAGTTTTTAATTTAATAATACTTGTCCTACAGTTTGTGCAACCTCGCATACAAACACAATCGCCGTGCAAACACACCGTGCGCGACGAAACGAGAGAGATGGGGCCTCCATTGTCCGCTGCATAATCTCCAGGCGCAATTTCGGGCACGGGATATTTGCACCGGGAAAACATTTTTGGCAACGTAGGGATAACGATATCGGCGGCAGTCGAGGCGATAATCGCGATCGATTATGATCTCGCGCCGCGCGCGTGTCGCGTGTGAGTATTAATGCGAGTATTAAGCTACGTCTATCGATTATATAACTATATCGTTCTTTGCCCTATATAATACTCGGCTACTATAGACGAGCACACAAAGATTGTTTGCTCGCGATATTGCGACGACACACGCGGGAAATTTACATTAACATCCTTTAGTTCATCCATCTCGCCCGCACACGGCGTATAATAATCCCGTGACGTGCCACGAAATTATTAATTGACGCGCGACGATTGCGCGCGTTTACGGATTTTCCGGCGGATTCGCTTCCCGTCGAATATTTCCCTCGGTCCCCTTTTACGCGAGCGTTTAATGCTCAACTTCAAATAGCTCTGTGACGATCCCCGGAATTAAAATTCTTAATTCCGCGATTCTCTGCAGGAAAATTAAAAAATTTAAATCGCCAAGTGAATATATATATATATATATATATATATATATATATATATATATATATACATATATATATATATATATATACATATACATATATATATATATATAAAAGCAAAACAACAGCTAAGAGAAAATTCGATGGAAATTCAATGTAGAATGCAGCTTTGTTAACCGTTGAAAATCCCGCAGCTTAATCCGCGAGAGAGAAATTCTTCAGATTGTCGATACATACATACAGAGTACTTGACAAATCGCTACCCAGATAGCACAGAAAATTCAAAAAGAATTCAGTCGTATGTCACCAATTCTGAATTTATTTTCAGGTGCAAAAAGAATTCTTCAAAGTTCAGTTCAGTGAAAAGAATTCTTTTTGCATCTAAAAATAAACTCAGAATTGGTGACATACGACTGAATTCTTTTTGAATTCCCTGTGTTATCTGGGTACGATGTGCAAGTCATCAACCTGAACAAAAGGCCAAACTATCCTCCTCAAATCCTATTCTCAAACTACTCCTGATTCGTCCATCTTTTTTTTATTAACATCTCGAAATTTTATGTTATTGTGAAAAATAGTAGAAGATCTTTTGCTTAAGGTGATGTGTTCTGCACACCGCGGCTTCGTAGCAAGTTATCGGACACCCTGCACATATCTTGCAACATAACAGAACTATTGATTGTGTTAATAAAAAATATTTACGCTGAAGTACATAAAAAAGAGATGCGTGCGAGATATGAAAAAATTTTCATATATAGTCGTATTTTCCGTCGTTCGTATTTCTCGAAACGTATCGCGATCGCGTGAGTTCGCGTTCAGAATTGACGTCGCGAATTGTCGGGCGAGTCACCGGTATCGAGTTTGCTGCGAGATCGTCAACGATGATCGACGAAAATCGCATTAGTGCTTCGGAGAGGATGAGAGGAATGGCCGATCACAGCTCTCGCCCGTCACTTAGTATGCGTCTCCGTGTGTCGCCATTATTCGGGCGATCTCTTAAATCTCGCACGCAGTTACCCCCGGCGACGGGACACCTCGAATACGAAATCGGCGGGTTCTCGCCACGAGGTCAGACCGTCGGTCGTCGTTTCCCCTCGCACAGGCCGATAATCCGAAACCGACAGAGAGGAAATCCGTGTTGCAGATTCCCAAGGACAGACGCGATCGAATCCCCAAGATGCAATCCCTAAGGATTGTCGCCGTCTCGAGCTCGCAGCCGAATGTTTGTTTCTGGTTCTTTGACACGTTTGTCGTGCGCATTCAGATAAAGGATCACTTGCAATACACGGAGTAAGTTTGGAAAACGTAAAAGTTGAAATAAAAAGTAAAGATAATTTATTTCGCTCCCGTTTACACTCTAACTCCTTTTCATTGGAAATATTCTTCTTAAGAGGATGCTACACTTTGAAACTTTATCAACAAATTACTGACTTTTTTCTGCAAACTTTACGTTGTATTGATTGCATACGATTACAAGTGCCTTTCTTGCTTCCTTTTATTCTGAGTGACAAGGAAGTCCTTTTCGACCTATTCCTGAAACACTACTCACTCGATAATATAAGAGATGTATACTAGGTTGACTTGGCAATGCCAGTTTTAAATAGATGAGCAAAAATGTTTTTTGAAAATAGTTCCAAGATATTTCCCAAAAAATCACAGATCACGTCAGATTTACATCACGACAGTTAAGTCGGAAATGATTATTACAGGTGTTTTTACACGCTGACAGTACGCGCAATAATGAATATTGCTTGACATGTGATGAAAACGAATTGTAAAAATAACAAGTCTCGAGCTGTCAGTTGGCGCAAACGTTTTCTTGATACCAAAGCTCCGCAACTTGTACATGCCGCACGTGTGTTTACTTCGCTAACAAAAATTTCGAAGAACATCTCTTACTCATTTCAGTACGACTGAGTGTAGAAGCTCTAAAGTATACGAAAAGTTTGCAGAAAGATTCCTATGTGCACGTAATTATGTTTTCTGTTAACATGATAAAAACAGCGCACATTTTATGTGAGATTTATACGTACGAGAAATACGAAAAGAATAGTACGACCGTGTTAGTGACGATCGCTTCCGCGTATCGACATTTTCCGAGTTCATCATTCACTTCGACATCTCTTTAAGAGAGATACTCTCAATGTAAGCAGACCAAAGTACAAGCGTAAAAAAGAAATAAATTACTTTTATTTCTTTTCCAACTTACGCCAAGCTTACTCCGCGTATTGCAAACGAGCCTTGATGTTTCAAAGTTAGAGTCTCGGTATTGGGTTATGAGGTATCAGAGGAGTTTAAGCGACAACGGACAGTCGTTGGAATAGACGCGCACGTTCAAAGGGGACACAAGGTCTATATGTGACCTCGACCCTCGTCTCGTGTCAAAATCAAACATACCATGTATGTTCTTCATATTGGACTATGTACGCGAAAGTTAAATGGAGAAGGGGATAAAATTGTACAAGCAAGCCCCTTTATATCTCGAAAATGAAAACATTCTTTGAACACAATAACAAGCAACCGTCCAGCTTTGCTTGTCTGCTGTTCGGAATCGAAAGACCGGATTTAAGATTCTAATTTCTCCATTTTTAATAACAGATAAACCGCTTGGCGATTTTCCATACTTGTTGCACGTCTTCCGCGGATATTATCTCTTGGATTTGCATAAATTACGAGAGGAAGTTTTATGGTGTGTAGCTTCACCTTCACTGTTCGTCTGTTAACCCCACCCTTATTTATCCAAGACTGATAATGATCCTTGGACTTAGGTCCGCGCGCTGAAGCCTGCTATTAAAGCTCCTTATATTCTAATGGCAAAGTATCGCTTTCAAGCCTATTTATCTCTGGGGTTATTTATCAATCATTTCCATCGCCTTTTCCTCCGAGCCATTTTATCCGCCGCGCGCGAATTAAAATCTCGAAGGATAAAGGTCCGCGCGCACACACCACTCGCGACTCGACGAGGATTTGCGAAGATAATCCTCCCTCTGCCGCCGAGATACCGATAAGAGCACTCACTCACCCTTGCTGGATATCGTCACCACGCTGATGAATTGTATAGCAAAGAACACGCCGACCAGAAGAAACTTGCTGGAACCATCGCGTTTCGTGGCGACTGACCCCCCTTCGACACTCGACGGTCCCCTCATTCTTCGACGAGCAATGACACGCACCCCGACTCGAGAGGAATTGCACCTCCGTGAGGCTCTGCCTTCATCACCGCCGTCCGATCGGAACGTGGTCCTCGTCACGGCCATAACTGATCACTCAAAATCCTCAAACGGTACCAACGTCACTGCGCACCACTCGGGGAGGATCTCTCCCACGGGATCCACGAGATCCTCGTCGATACGGCGGAGGATCAACACGACACTCGCGTCGAGGGCGGCCAGCATAGATCGCCGCGATCGCCAGCGACGCAGTCACACAATCGGACCGATCGCCGCGGATCGTCCGCACTGGGATATCACACCGGCGACGCAGCACAACCCTCACTGTCACGGCCGGAGTCACACTGCCGCGGCGGACCGTCCGTCCCCGCCGTGCCGACTCACCCGGCCCGACGAGAACGAGCCGAGCTCCACCGTTGTCGCTCGCAGCCACCGGTGATCGGTGAACACGTCTTCGGGGCGCCGACTGTTTCCAAACAAAACACGCGCAACGTCACTTGCGAGCTAAGCCGGTGTGGCGCGGTACCTGGCGCCTTCGTGAGCCCGCTCGGTTCCACCTGGAACTAACCGCGCCGGGCGTCTCCGTAGGGCAGGTCCACCCCCATAACGAGACGAGACCGGTCTCGCTGGTTTGCCTGACGCGCGCGACGTCGGATCAGCAGGGAAAGAAAGACACACGGCGCGCCGTAGACAGTAAAGAAAAAGATAAATGGCGAACCACCTTTTTCCGTCGCGATCCTGTCCGCTGGCTCGCTGGTTCCGAGGAAAGCGCTCCCGGTTTCAGGCGGACTTCGGCGGACGCAACTGCACGCGTCGCGACGCTGTTTTCCCTGCGCGATGCAGTAGGGGGAGGGTATAGGCAGAAAGGGTGAGATCGCCGTCGAAGGGGGAAGGGGAAAGTCACTCGCGCGCGGGTGGGCGGGTCCCACCGCGAACCCTCGAGAAAGTTGAAGAGGGCGGAAGGGGGTGGCCGGGCGGCGACGGCGGTGGAGAACGGAAGCGAGAGAGAAAGACGACAAATAGACGGACAGAGAAAGAGAGCGAGAGAAACAGGAGGACAGAAAGAGAGAGAGAGAGAGAGAGAGAGAGAAAGATGCGGTGCACACTGAATTCTGGCAGCGCGACCGGAGCCGCGTGTTAGATCCCCCAGCGCAACGTGCTGCCGCGTCGAGACGCCCGGCGCTACTGAGGTGAAGGAGAGTGCCGGAGTGCCCGTTCGGGGGTTGCTGCCGTTACGCGAGATCGGGAGGAAGTGGTGGCGCAGGGCTGCTCGGGGGCGGAGGGGATGTTGAGGGTTCAAGGGGGAGGTAGCGCGGCGCGCCTCTCGTCGGATATTCTCGCCTCTCTCCGGCCTTCTCCCGTACGCTCCTTCTCTATCCATTTTTCCACGCTCTCTCCCACCCCCACTTTCTCCCTTTTATTTTACACATCAATTTTATCCGCGGCTTTATTTTATTTTCTTCTATTTTGTAGTTAGAATTATATTAATATGGCTCGTGCACACACAAATCCGGACGCGCGTTCTTTCTCGTTTGCGTGCGGAAGTTGTTCGAACGCAGACTCGGTCGCAAACTTGGGCCGAATGTTATTTTACGCAGCGAAAGTTTCAATGATGAAGTTTTCATTCCGCCTAGATGAAACTACTCGCGTTCAAACGTCCGTTCCATCACGCCCACGCTTCCGGATATTTTCCAGGTAGGGTGTGAAATGGGCTGCCGAATCAACGACAGCTTGAGAATTCCGCGGACGTTATTTCCTGATTCGAATCGTTTTCCTTTAAGGAAATATGAAGGCGTGTTAATGTACGCGACAGACGTCACGACCACAGATCAGACCGTAGCTCTGATTTGTCCAATAGCTTATCTCTCTTTCTTTTTTTCTTTCTTTCTTTCTATCTCTCTTTACATAGGAGATAGCAAAATTTACGAAACAAACGCTTGAACGCGGGAGATTTCGTTTGTGAGTAGAACACAAACTTTCATAAAGTAATATCGACCTGAAAACCGAGACTATATGCCTGTACTCTTCGAAGAATCCTCATATTTATCGGTGCTCCCGCGAATACCGTAGACTCCGTTTGTTACGTACCCGTTAACGCCTGTGTCGTTTTTCAGCTTCTTGCTCTTACAGACAATTTGATCCCAGATTCTCCTCCTTCCCTCCCCCCTTTTTCCCTTTCAGCCCTCCTGGCGTCCTTTCTCTCGTGTAATTCGCTCTCGCGGGATTGCACGCGAACGAAACGAAACGCGGCGTCGAACAACGCGATGCACTTGCTGAAAAACGCAGAGGAAAACAGGAAAAAAAAGAAGGGAAAACAATCCTCAACTACACACACGGCTTTTGAAACAAACGGTTCCGATTAAATGGATGGGTCGGTGCGCTTTGCGTTCTTTGTGTGTCCGAAGCTGTATAAATTCGACAGAATGCGTCCGCGCACCTCCAGATGCGCGCGCGCTTATGCGAACAGTCCGTTTTACATATTAACATTTTTGTCGATCCGATACCGCGGCGATACCGATGCAGCCTCATACAGAGACGGAACTACCGGCACGGCGCGGGGAATATTAGCGAGTAATTCGCGCGTCGATTCGCAACGGTTGCGCCGCGCGTTGCACTTGATATCTTTCGTCGCGATTGACAGTTCTCTCCTCCGTCCCTCTTTCTCCCCTTCCCGTCCCCCCGCCTGCCGTTCGCTTTATACAACGCTCGCGCGCGTAACAACGGCCACGATTAATCGTCCACACCGAAATGTTAAATACCTGACAGATACAAAAACGACGCGGGTAACGAGACCGCGCGCGATTGGCTAGGGTGGAGGATAGGAGTGTGTAGAGGCGCACACAGAGGGGTTGACGCGATCCGCGCGCAAACTCGACGATTGTCGACAGCCGCTCGCGCGAGTCGCGACGTGGACGTGCTCCCTGTGCAATTTTTGCGCGACTGGTATCGGGAAAAGCGATGTCTGGTAAGAGAGAGGGAGAGAGAGAGAGAGAGAGAGAGAGAGAGGGAGAGAGAGAGAGAGAGAGAGAAACAGAGACAGAAAGGGAGAAACAGAGAGAGAGGTAATCAGGAAACGATCGAAATCGGATTATCGGGCGCCCGATCAATCGACAATCACGCACAGCTTCAGTCGCTGGCGTCGTGTATACATTGCGCACGATGTTGACACGGATCGGACCGACGGCAGATAGATCGCTAATTTCGCTCGGTGATTCGCGTCTCGAGTCCGAGCACAGGCAAACAGCGTCCATCTGCACGATTACGATAATGATTTCCCGCGTCTCGCGATGAGTTGCACATTAGCGCAGAGCACGTAGTAACGCGAGGCGCGTATCCCCGAAAGAAATTTAATCTCCTCGGCCATATACATTTCAGCGTGTGGCGTTTGTGTCGTCGCGTTCGCCTTTAATATCGCCATCTCTTCGCAAGGAGACTCTAAATGTCGAATTTAGCCCGAGGTCAACTCAGCGAGCATTACCGAGCAGGGAACGAGTTCTTTGTGACGCATCTCGTGGGAGAAAACGCCGGACAGAGAAAACGACTGCCACGTTTGTTACCGTTTCAGATATTAAAGCACCCCAATTAGTCCGATGGTAACGCCAACTCGCGAAACCGCTATCTAACCTGGTCGATGCATTAAGCTTTGTCCACAAGCACTGTAGCCACGGGTGCGGAACCAAAGAACAGAATGAACATGCGACCACTTCTACGGGACGCGTCAGAAATCTCACGTGGTTTCCGCGGACGCTATGCAAGTCAAATTAACGAGAGCGCTAATCAAACACTGGCCTATTTGTTAATCTTGCATATAAGAGAGCGCGAATGCAAAATCATATCTCGTCTTTAGAATATAATTTTTTTTATGGAAATAAGAATAATAAAAAATAATAATTTACTTTCTGATTAACTCTGGATGCATTTTCTATTGTCAATTTTCATTTAATTTATGACCAAGTATTGAGAAAAGAAACACTCCTTCCTATTGATGTGTTTGAAAGATAACTAATATGGATCTCTCTCTCTCTCTCTCTCTCTCTCTCTCTCTCTCTGTCTGTGAAATCCAATCGAGTCATTAAGAGCAAATTGGATCGGTTTCGATGACAAACAACATCACACGACCTCTAAAACAGTCTGTGCTGCGGGGATGTGTACGGAACGACATCCAATCTCAGAGAAAATCAAAACTCAAGGGTGAGCACGCTTTGCCCGAGGTTAATGCGCCTTGCCCGTTTCCGCTGCGTTGCCGGAAACACTAATTCGCACCGTCGTGCCTGTCGCAGAAAGGCACAGCCGTGGTCTCCGAGGAGAACAGAAAAGAGGAATGAAATATTATACGAAGCTGCGCGGCCGCGGATTGAAATGGACGACGAATTTCGCGGCCGGGAAACAGCGAAACCTCCGGTTCGAGACTGCAGCGACTACGTCGCTCGATAAACACGGGTTGTGGTGTCGGTGTATATTCCGCTACGGATTCGCTGACCTCGACATTTTTCCTCAATAAAGGAATTTAATTAAATTTCACGAGCGTACAAATTGCGCTATCTCGTATTGCATCTGCGTCACAATTTCGCATACATATTTTATCAAACATTACGTTCACCTAATATCAATCGCTAATATTCCTTCACGGACGCTTTATACAAGTCTATCTTTACTCGTCCGTCTATATTCATCTCTCTACCCGTCTAACTCTATTCGCTTGTCTTTACTGTTTGCTCGTACTTCACGTTGTTCAGACAAGACTTTCGTTTTGCTAAGGAATTTACAACGGAATATATAGAAAACGACGAATCTATACGATATGTTAAACGCAAGAAGGATAGGGGAGTGTCAATCACCTCAAAGTTTCCATAAACCGAGTAACACGATGATAAAGTCGGCGAGTGTTTTTCCCAAAGTGTTTTCATAGCGATGACAGGTGTAAAATAAAACACGGGATTCCCTTCGCCGTTTTCTGTCTTTTCTCTTCTTTTCAAAGTGGAAGAAAAAACGGCGTGGATTTTTATACGACGCGTAAACTCGGTACGGCGGGGCGTCGTGACGCTGAAAGTTCAAGAATTATACGTCGTTGGCCGCCTATTCGCGTAGACATAATCAACTACCGAGGCGAGAAAAACGCGATGTAACTTCACGAAAGAGACGACGATCGATTCTGAATAACTTAAGGATTCCTCGGGAATCTTTCGCGGATGTAGAGGGAAAGCGACGGGGGGGAGAGAGAGAGAGAGGGAGAGAAAGAAAGAGAGAGAGAGCGAGGAAAAGATAGCGCGCGCGCGCGAGACAGAGCAACGCGGCACCGTCCAAGTTTTGTCTGCAACTTCAAAAGACTTCGCGCTAACACCAATCGACCGTGGCAAAGTGAGCTTCACGAGCTCTTTTTTCACCTCCCGCGATCATCATCGGCACGAAGGGAGCGCGGAAATTACCCCTCTTTTACTCGAATATAATGGAAGTCCACGCAGAGAGATAATTCAAATCTCATTTTAATCCAAATTTTTGGCGGCCCCCAAAGCGAAACGCTCAAAGCGTTTAAGCCTTGCGCGCGCACGGCCCTTGACTGGTAATCTGCTTTAATTGCATAATTGGGGTTGAACCACGCCATTAAGCTCTTCATTACATTCGCATGTCTAACGTTAATTATAGAATCGCGCATTTAATTGCCCGTCTGGTTATTTCATCGTTAATTTAATCGCTTAATGCGGCCGTGCGCGTGCGCGTGCGCCATCGCCCGTTCACTCGCGCGCATTCGCTCGCTCGTTGGTCAATACGGCGTGTAAATCTCTGAAAATTTGTAAATACCACGTTCAATTATGCGCATCAATTATTTCCTAATCAAGCGGCTATATAAATAACTCACATACAAATAATAACCTGCGCGCAATTTTAATGCGAATTAAAACGCGTCACGGCGACGGCCGGGAATAATTCGTCGGCGATATCATTCCGATAGCGACATATTCATTAGCAATGGCGCTAATGAAAAGCTAATTAGCGATTATTCGCGCTGTCGATTCGCAGCACGAGGAAAAACAAAGTCGCGAGTCTCAGCGGGGACTTAATTTTTATCTACTCCACATTTAATTCCGTAGCCTGCTTTTTAACAAGTTTCGTTAACTCGCTAATAGCCAATTACGCGCCGCCCTATGAAATATGGAAATGCGAAATA